TTCGAAAAGTTTGAAAATTATTACTCAGTTTATTTTCTAAAACCTTTTTGTATTTAACAAAAATAAATTGTCTATCTCCACGAGGACGATCCTCAAGTCATCTAGTTCCAGTCTACTGTTACATATTTCATCTCTAAATGATCTCCTTATACCAAGAACATTCTAATCTCTATCAGTACTGTTACTTTCGCTATTACTAGTCTATTAAGTAAATTGGTCCACACTTTAACTTTTTTTTTTTTTCAAAGGTTATTGTTATTTTATGATTATTTTTTATTTTTTATTTATATTTATTATTTATATTTATATTATTATTTTATCTTTATTTGTAGTTATTTATTTGTTTCTAATTATTTATTGTAGTATTTCACAGTAGATAAATTAACTGACCATATTATCATCATCAGCTTTTTACTATTTAACATCCCCTAGTTGTCTCCAAGTTCTTTAAATTTTTTTTATTATTTTTTTTTTCTATCTTTCTTTGATCCTCCATTCTCCTCGTATATGTCTTATCCTTAAAAGAGTCTAATTATGGATACATGAATCTATGGCGTAAAACTATCATTCTACACAAAATTTAATTACATCCTAAGGTCATTGTGTCTTAGATTCCATTTTTCTGATTTTTCAATCTCTACTTAATTATTATAAGTTATCTTTGACCTTTATCCCTTTCCAAATGTTATTAAATCTTTATTTCATTCTATTTAGCACCTCGATCTAATTTTCGTACTTAATTCTTTAAAGTCTTTATTGTCCTTTAAAAGGACTGCCTTTTTTAGCCACATGCTTCCAGCTTTTGTCCTCGCATTTTGTATTTTATAAGCCTTTAAAATAAACAAGAAATTTCTAAATAAGAATTTTAATTCAAAAACTTGCATTTGTATGATTCGTGTGTGGTGAGAGGGTAATATTCTAACCACTACTCATTAGAGTTTCGGCGCTCACTCCTGCCTTGCCTATTTTTTTTCCACGTAATAGAAGAAAGAAAAATCCTATGGAGTTGAAGAACATAAGTTATAGAAGCACTGATAAACAAATTTAAATAAATGATGATGGTAAATAATACAGGTATAGAGTTCCGCAATGTACTCTAGTGGGTTGTAGATGAACTGTACTATGATTACAATAATTGAATTAGATTATTGAGGACCTGTATCAGCGCATTTAAGAATAGTTAATGAGAATTGCAAATATAGGCTTTAACTCGGGCTTTCGGGGGCTTATGCATAATATAGGCTTACTACGGGCTTCGGGGGCCTTAAGCCCACCCAGGTCCTAGTGCCGGTCCGGTCCATGGAAATGGGTCGTGACACAAGTATAGATGAAATAACTTCAGATTCAACATGCATGTTTCGGGAGATGATCAACTCGCTGACATCCTTACAAAGCCTCTTGCTCATCATTCGTTCTTGTTGCTTCAGGACAAGCTTCGTTTGATTCAGCTTCGTACTTCAGCTTGAGGGAGGGGAGGGTGTTAAAGAATATATCCCTTTCCTTATTCTGTAATTCCTATTGTTAAAGAATATATCTGTTTCCCTATTTTGTAAACCCGTATATATCTTTTCATATCTCTATTAAGTAGGCCAATTTTATTTCCTTCTTAGATTAGGACCTATACTCTATATATAAGGTTATATCCATTAATATATACAGGTCAATAATATTAGAATTATTCTCTTAGAGTATTAGCTTTAACACTTGAAACTAGATTTTCTAATAAATCGCCATGTGGCCATGTGACAAGATCCTGGTATAAGGAATATAACAATTTGGTATCAAAGCCAAACACCATGGGTGATCAAAGATTGTGAGAGAAATTGAGAAATCTGGAGGCAAAATCAAAAACAAGAACTGCTAAAACAGTTAATATTGCCAAACAAGTAAAATGTAAACCAAACTTAGAGGGGTGCATTGGATTAAAAATTTGTTAGATTTTAAAATATTTTAAAATTCCGATAATATTCAATCTAGATTTTTTTGGAGTTTATTAAAATTTTATTGTTTAGACTCTTACAAATCCATAAAAATCCGATAGTATTCAATTATGACTTTTTAAAAGTCATACAAATTTGATGCTATTCAAAAAATTGCTTATTTAGAAGAATTTTATAAAATTATTGATTTTATCGGCTGTTAGAGTGCTCGATATGAATAAAAGAGTCATTCACAAATCAATCCTCTAACCCAATGATTTCAAAAATCTTCATACAAATTTGATGCTATTCAAAAAATTGCTTATTTAGAAGAATTTTATAAAATTATTGATTTTATCGGCTGTTAGAGTGCTCGATATGAATAAAAGAGTCATTCACAAATCAATCCTCTAACCCAATGATTTCAAAAATCTTTTAAAATCTAATAGAGTATTGATCCAATACACCCCTTAATAAGGATTTAAGTAGGGCAGGTTCCCGCAATTTTAAACTACATGTATAGATATCCGTTTAAAATTTTACTACTCGTATCTATTCTAAACTCATTTAAATATTCATTTAAGTACCCAATTCCGTTTAAATGTTACTACCCGTCTCTATCCAAAACCCGTTTAAAGTACCTCTTAAATAGGTGGGTACGTGTTAATCTTAAATTATTCAAATCCGAACTTATTTAAAATACATTTTTCACTAATAATGAATAGGGTACCTACTACCGAACTCTTTTAATATAGTGGTTAACGGGTAGTGGGTATCCAAAAATCTATATCCATGCCCTACTTGTATCCATTACGGATAATAATTTCACTACTCATATTCGTTACGGATAGTAATCTCACTATCTATATCCGTTTTAAACCCATTTATAACTACCCATATCTTCTTTAAATGGATCGTAGTAAAACGGGTACCCTAAAATATCCGTATCACTTTCTTTCCTACCCTAATATGTAAAACAATGTATTAATTATTGGATTAGTTTCGAATTAATTCGTGTGCTGAGAATTCGATATTTTGACAAAAATTATTATTAATGCTGCTACAGAGTTTTCAAAATTAATTTGATTATTTTTTGAAATTTTTATGGGTTGATTTCAATTAGATAATAATTTAATCAAATAAAAAAAAAAAGCTTTGAAATAGTCGAAGAACTAAAGAATACTATTTGCCTCTGTTGTGGCTGGACTGCCAGGCTCCTTGAGCCATAGGCAACGGGTCGTGCATCGAGCCTATCTCAATGTGCGCCTCCTCCTTGCGCGAGCTCTGACAGCCCACACAGGTCTGGGGTAGCGGTGGTTGCTCGTTTTCGATTTTAAATTAATACATACATACATATTTATTTATTTATTTAAATATATGATTTTCCGATGAGACACTGGCCATTGCAGGCCTTTCACTGTCAGTAGCGGCAAGGTTTTAATGAAGGAACAAAACGATTTTGGAGAAGATGACGCATTTTGCTTTTTGGTACCTCATTGTTTTTCAATTTTTCAATTGGACTCGAAAATCTTTTAATTTGTTCAATTAGGTCTTGAAATTAATTTTGATTGGATATATAAAAATCATTGTAATTTCATCAAAGTCAATCAATTCATCAAAGTCAATCAAAATCTATAAAAAAAATTCCACCAATTCTATAAAACTCTAATAAGATTCTAACGGAATCTGGTAGATATCTAAGAAAATCTTTCCAATTCCAATCAAACTTAATAATTCTTTTTAAAAATATAATACAACCAAAAATTTCACCAATTCTATAAAACTCTATATAGAATTCTAACGGAATCTGTAGATATCTTAAGAAATCTTTCAATTCCATCAAACTTAATAATTCTTTTAAAATATAATACAATCCTAATCCAATACATCACCTTTAGAGTTGGATATATAATTGAGAAAATTATAATCGTGCCCCCATATTTTGTACAAAAAACTACTTTGCCCTTGTTTTTTTAAAAATAGACTACTCTAACCTCGTATTTTAAGTCCCTTATACTGCAATGTCCTTCCGTCCGTTAAATATGTGTAAAATGACACAATTGCCCTGATTCCACCTTTTCCAAGATCTAATCCTCCCCTCCTCCAAAACTTCCTCAAAACCCTAAATTTTAATTCGCACTAAACAAAAATATCAAACAATATTGAACAAGAATCATCAACTCACTGCAGTTTGCTCCCAAACTTCAGTTCTATTCTCTATCAAATAAGCGTTTGCCCGCAAAAGACATTAATAATATAAGTAACTATCCATACTGTTTGTTTAACCTAAACAAGGCCAGATGACGGGTATAATACTAACACTAAACGAACATTAAATCATTAAACAACATTTTAACAAGAACAAACATTTAACAATAATTCAAGGAATTAACCTAATAAATTAAAAGTACCCAAAAGGGTAAGTTAGCTCAAATCTGTCACACAATTGCAGATTTCTCAATTAGCTTTTTGATTGCATTTTTCAGACACTTTAATGTATTACTTTCTTGATTTCATAGAATTATTGGTCATGAAAATCAGTTTCTTCCCAAAAATAAAAATAAAATTTACAAATCAAACAAGAGAGAAAAAAAAAAAAAACCTACGAGATGCCTAAGAGTGAAGTAGTTCAAGCATTTGAGAAACGACATCAAAGAGATTTGAGAAACGACATCAAAGAGCCTTGATATTATGAGATAAGAGGAGCTGGGTGACTTTCTGGTGGTGTTCATTGTAGAAAAAAAATTTTGAAGAGAACGATTTGCAATATGAAGAGAGGAATGAGAAGAGGGTATTTTAGTGAAAAAAAAGTTCTCTCTCTTTAGAGTGTCAGGTTTTCTTTGATTTGTATTTTAAAATCATAAATATTTAATGAAAGGGCAACACAGTGGAATGCAATCAAAATACAATACAATTGTATAACAATCTATTTTTTAAAAAATAACCGTAAAGTAGTTATTTTTACAAAATATAGAGTACAATTATAATTTTCCCTATTTAATATTATTAAAATCGAACCAAACGATCGCTTGAAACCGTGATTCTTGTTCGGTTTGATTTGGTTGAGATTCTTTTGCAAACGCCTATATATTCATTGGGCGCGCGCTAAAATGTCACTAGAAGAGGCAAGGTTTTAAACTGCAGTTTGGATTTCTTTTGTCATGACACTTGGTCTCTGTCTCTCACCTAATTCAAACAGATTTCACTTCCAGCAAAAATGCAAGGAAAAACCAGTCTTTACATAGCAAACCTCTTGCAATCTTGCATAGACAAGAAAGCCCATTTCTGTGGAAAGCTTCTCCATGCCTATATTTACCGTATTGGCTTATCTTCAGACGTTTTCCTCTCGAACCGTCTCATTGAGCTTTATTTCAAGTGCAACGATGCAAGTTATGCTCACAACTTGTTTGATAACATGACTCAAAGGAATATTTATTCTTGGAATACGGTCTTAACTGATTATTGTAAAGTGGGAAATTTAGAAAATGCACGCAGATTGTTTTATAATATGCCTGAAAGAAATACTGTGTCATGGAATAATTTGATTAGTGCATCTGTGCGTGGTAAGTTAGAGCTAAAGGCTTTGAATTTTTATGATGAAATGATTTTGGAAGGTTTAATGCCTACCCATTTCACGTTAGCAAGTGTTTTGAGTGCGTGTCGTACTTTGTTAGATTTGGAGTATGGAAGGAAATGTCATAATGTTGCGATTAAAATTGGGCTTGAAAAGAATGTGTATGTGAGTAATGCTTTGTTATGTGTGTATGCTAAATGTGGAGTTGTTAGAGATGCGGTTCAGGTTTTTGAAGAAATGCAAGAACCTAATGAAGTTAGTTTTACGGCTATGATGGGTGGTTTTGCACAAATGGATAGGGTTTTGGAGGCGTTGGAAATGTTTAGGCTGATGTTTAGGCGAGGGATTCGTTTTGATAGTGTCTCATTATCTAGTGTTTTGGGTGTTTGCACCAGAGAAGAGTCTGGTCTTTATGATCTGAGTGATGGATCTTTGAGTAATGCGCTTGGGAAACTAGTGCATGGACTTACAGTTAAACTTGGGTTTGAGAGTGATCTTCATTTATGCAATTCATTACTAGATATGTATGCAAAGAATGGCGATATGGATATTGCTGAGGATGTCTTTTCTAATTTGCCTGAAGTTAGTGTTGTCTCTTGGAATGTAATGATAGCTGGCTACGGCCAGAAATGCAGAAGTGAGAAAGCTGTAGAGTATTTTCAAAGGATGCAGTCTTGTGGATTTGAACCAGATGAGGTCACTTATATTAATATGCTTGCAGCAAGTGTCAAGTCTGGTGATATGGAGATTGGTCGTCAAATGTTTGATTACATGGCTTGCCCAAGTGTGAGTTCATGGAATGCTATGTTATCTGGCTATTTTCAATTAGGAAATCATGAGGAAACAATGAAGTTATTTAGAGAAATGCAGTTCCGAAATGTAAAACCTGACCGAACTACATTAGCTATTATACTTAGTTTGCTTGCACAGTTCGAACTTTTGGATGCTGGGAAACAGGTCCATGCTGCCTCACAAAAAGCTGCCCTTTATAATGATTTATATGTTGCTAGTGGACTTATTGGTATGTATTCGAAGTGCGGGAAGATGGAAATGGCAAAATGCATATTTGAGAAAATACCCAAATTGGATATCGTCTGTTGGAATTCCATGATTGCAGGTTTTGCCCTTAATTCTCTAGACAAGGAAGCTTTGACTTTCTTTCAGCAGATGCAGCAAAATGGCATGTCTTCTACTGAATTCACTTATGCTACTATTTTGAGCTCTTGTGCAAAATTATCTTCATTGTTTCATGGGAAGCTGATTCATGCTCAGATAACAAAAGATGGGTTTATGAATGATGTCTATGTGGGTAGTGCTCTTGTTGATATGTATTGTAAATCTGGTGAGGTGAATGAGGCCCAACAATTTTTTGATATGATGCCTGATAAAAACACTGTTACATGGAATGAAATGATTCATGGGTATGCTCAAAATGGACGCGGACATGATGCTGTTAATCTGTACAGAAACATGATTAATTCAGGTGAGAAACCTGATAGGATTACTTTTGTTGCTGTTTTGACTGCCTGTAGCCATTCAGGATTAGTTGATGCAGGAGTTGAAATATTCGACTCAATGCATCGAGACCATGGAGTGGAACCAGTTTTGGATCATTATACTTGCATTATTGATGCTTTGGCACGAGCTGGTCGACTTCATGAAGCAGAAGTGATGGTGGATAAGATGCCATATAAAGATGATCCAATTGTATGGGAAGTTTTGCTTAGTTCTTGTAGACTTCATTCCAATGTGAATTTAGCAAAAAAGGCAGCAGTTGAACTCATCCGGCTGGACCCCCAAAAATCTTCTCCTTATGTGCTTCTAGCAAATATCTACACTTCCTTAGGAAGATGGGATGATGTAAGGGCTGTAAGAGAGCTGATGAGTGATAATGAGGTTGTTAAGGATCCTGGTTATAGCTGGATTGAATATAAGAGGGGGATGGAATCATTTATGGTGGAGAATAATATGAAAATGGTTAATGATTCATTTGTATAACAAGTCCAGTGGAATATCTTGCCTCAGCATATTATATTTGATTGAAATATACAAGGATCTTGTCCAACACTGAATTTCAATTTAAGAATCAAGATGTATATATGCCTCTATTATAAAAGGCATAGCTTCCAAGTGCCTACCAAATCCTTTCTCAACTATCTTGAAAGATAATTGATTCTCATTGAAGCTTGGGGATCCTTCTGCAGCTTATGCTTAACAATTTCAAGTTTTTGCCTTATCCAATGGAGTCAGCGCAGGATTCTAAAATTTTTTAGCAACTCCAAGGAGTTGCTTCTCTTCCAGATATGGACAATTATGGTTTGACATTCTGTCTTGGGGTTTGAATGTTGAATTTGAGGTGGATGGGAATTAGAAATCCAATTACGTGAGTTTATACAGGCTCCTTTAACCACAAGGGATAAGGTACATTACCTAACCATTCCACATGTTTTAATCTTTTCATTTTGCTTCTGTGAAGCTATTCATCATAGACAAAAAAATCTTGGAACAAGACTTCTTGCTATGTCTTTATACCAATAATATAGCAATTGCATACACTGTCATCTATAATCTATGCTATTGAGCATTAAATCTCATTATTCATTAGATTTTTATGTTGCTAATTTCTTATGCAGGCATGTTATGCACTAGCTTTGCAAGACTAAGGTGGAATAGCACTTTTAAAGGATAAAGCAGGTAGTTACTGAAGAAATTTGGTTTCTTTTGAGATGTTGGCTCATTTTTTATTTCAAGAATCTCTGAGATTTTTCCTTATAGAGAGAATTACCGTCTTGACCATACTTTTGACAACTCGTATATATGTAAGGTTTTCTATGAGATGCTTCAATCTTTTGGGGGCATTTGGTTGCAGGAATCTCACGGGAAAAAAGATTTGGAAAGTTAGGATCCACTATTTAGTTGGTAATTTCTTAGGAAAATTAAATTTCTGAGTATGTAGACCTCGTCCTTACTTTCTCTCTCGAATGGTGGAAAAATTAGATTCTTATAGAAAATAAGACATTTTAAATTACGTAATAACATTTTTTGTCACAAATTTACTACTTTCCTAGAAAACTTTTATTATCATTCAAATGCGCTAATTCGACTTTCCTATAATATTTTCCGGGAAATCTACTTTCCTAAGAAAGTAATTGTCCATAGAAAAGTTGAATTCCGGTAACCAAACACTGACTTTATTATTAATATTTATCAAGTTGATGGATGGAAATAGTTGTAGTGTTTACATACTCGCAACAATTATCGGCTTGGTTTAAATTGACGGCCTTGTTAAGTTTAAGCAGAAAAACTGATTGAACAGAGAACTCAAACAATTGGATTTCCAGTATTCATGCATTGAAATCAGACCTGGTAATATATAGCCTTACAGGAATAGCACAACGATAAAAGAAAAAATACAGTAGAAAAATCCTAACAATCCCAAAAGAATAGGACTTCCTTAAGAATAGGACTTTTATTTAATAGAACCAAACAAACAGCTCCTAACAGTCCCTCCCTTAAACTTATTCTTCTCTAGACAAGAATCAGTTTAAGTCTGAAACATCACACACACCAAGTTTCTTGCGCAATTTCTGAAATGCTTCCAACTTGAGAGGCTTTGTAAATAAATCAGCAAGTTGATCATGAGTGCCACAAAACAATAAGTTAATTGTTCCTTCTTTGGTAAGATCTCTAAGAAAATGAAACCTTACTCTGATATGCTTAGAACGTCCGTGTAAAACTGGGTTTTTTGACAGTTTGATAGTGAAGCATTATCGCACATAAGTTTTGTTCCTTCCACTTGTAAATGTCCAATCTCTCTGAGTATTCTTCTCATCCAGACAGCTTGACATGCACACGCAGCGGCGGCAACAAATTTCGCTTCTGTGGTTGATAAGGTGACTATAGGTTGTTTTCTGGATGACCAAGCTACTGCTCCTTTACTCATCATAAACACATAGCCCGAAGTACTTTTGCTGTCTTCCATATCGCCGGCATAATCACTATCAGTTACACCAATCAATTCACTAACTCTGCCCCTTTTATAGAACACACCAAAATTAACTGTGCCTTTCAAGTACCTCAAAACTCTTTTCGCTGCTGCAAAGTGCAGTTGCGTTGGGCAAGCCATAAAATGGCTTATTAAGCTTACCATAAACATTAGGTCAGGACAAGTGGCAGTAAGGTACATCAGACTTCCCACAATCTGCTTGTAAAGAGTTGCATCCACCTTGACACCATTTTCATCTTTGCTGATTTTTTGTCCAGGAACAATAGGATTACAAACAGAGTTGAAATTCTCTACCTCAAATTGCTTCAAAACCTCAGCAGCATATTTCCTTTGACATATAAAAATGCCATCTGAATGTTGTATGACTTCAATTCCGAGAAAAACCTCATTTGACCCAGATCAGTCATATCAAATTCCCTTTTCATAGAACATTTGAACTCTCCCAACATTAGTTCATCATTACTGGTAAACAATAAATCATCAACGTACACACTTACAATAAGAATTTTACCTCCCTTCCTTTTAACAAAGAGTGTGTGCTCACTAGAACTGCTTTCGTAAACAATACTGGTAAACAATAAATCATCAACGTACACACTTACAATAAGAATTTTACCTCCCTTCCTTTTAACAAAGAGTGTGTGCTCACTAGAACTGCTTTCGAATCCTTCCTTGATGAAGTAGGCTTCAATTCGGCTAAACCAGGCTCTAGGTGCCTGTTTCAACCCGTAGAGAGCCTTGTTAAGTTTGTATACCAGCTGATCATTCCCTCTCTTGACATAGCCTTTTGGTTGGTCCACAAAAACATCTTTCAGTTCTCCATGTAAAAAGGCTGATTTGACATCTAACTAATAAAGTGTCCAGCCATTCTGTGCCGCAAATGCTATGATCATCCTTACAGTGTCCATTCTAGCCACGGGCGCAAAAACCTCAATATAATCAACTCCATGCTCTTGTGTGTAGCCTTTCACCACCAACCTCGTTTTGTATTTATCAACCTCAGCAAGCTCATTTAGCTTAGTTTTATAAATCCATTTAACTCCTATTTTCTTCGCATTAGCAAGTAGAATGACTAGATGTCAAGTCTGATTCTTCTCGATGGAATTAATCTCCTCATCCATGGCCAATTTCCACTTTGAGCTATTGACTGCTTCTTCATAGTTTACAGGATCTAAAACCATTAAAAAAGCCATATTAATATCATCTTCCATGTTAACATCTTCTTCTTCAGACAATCCTTCACTGGACACATAATCAGTTGACCATATAGGTGTGAATACTCAAATTTTTAGGCTCAAAAAGCCCATTTTCCCGGACTGTAAACAGTCCGACCGGACCGGAGGCCAGTCGAAAAGTTCATCGAAAGTATGCCAATATGGTACTTTAAACGTCCGGAAAATCACGAGGATCGCAGAATTGGTCCCGAAATATTTTTTGGAGGTACGGAACTCCCGAAAAAGCCTTTGGAACGAAAAATTAGCAAAAAAATAGCTCAGTGGACAAGGATAGGGCGCCAGTGACAGCACCCGCCGTTCCACGCGGCAGTACCCGCAGCCTCCAGCCTGGTTTTTCCCTATAAATACAGCCCCAAATCGACCAGTTTTTAGGCTCGGGTCTGTGTGACGGACGCTCTCTTCCTTCCTACGCTCCTTGCTCTTCTACTACTTTTCTTGCAAATTAGTTTTAGGCTCTTATTACTCTGCTTGTTGTGATATTTGGTCACTTAATTGAATTAATTTTTAAATTAAATATTCCCCAAAGAAAGAGCTTAATTCTGAGAATTTTCAAACTTAAGCTAAGAAGCGGCCGCCGATTAACTCAGTTAATAACGAAACTCTGACCATTTAAATTTCAGCATTTTTGTGCCACTATTCTCTTCTACTCTAAAACTCTAATTAAATAACTTGCATTCACACCATCGTCATCTTGACAGCAAATTGCCTTAAGTTAAATAAGTAGGCTAAAAGGTGCCCGGTTATTCAATTAATCCGTGATATTAATGCTAAATCCGAACATAGGCTAAAGGGGCCTAGTTAATTAATAACTACGGTTTTGTAATTGCCTTTATTCGAACAGTTCGGCTAAAGGTCCATTAATCAATAATTGTGACTAAAAGAATCAATCGCGTTTTTTGGCAACAAATTGCCTACAGTAATCAAATCCACGTTTGGCAACAAATTGCCTACGGTTTAATCAATCGCTTTGGCACCCAATTGCCTGATAATTCAAATAACCACTTTTTTTGGCGACAAAATCACCCAAATATCACTTTTTCTTTGGCCAATAAATTGCCTAAATTACATATCAGTCTTTTGCACGAATGCCTTAATCTTTTGGCGACAAATCGCCACAACGAAACCCTTTTGCACAAATGCCCTTAATCAATCACTCCTGGCGACAAAGATCGCCTAACCAATCTTTGGCACAAAATTGCCTAAGTTCAAAATATCAACTTGCACAAATACCTTATCAAACCATGTTTTAGCGACAAATAGCCCAAACATCAAGTTTTTGCAATAAATTGCCAATCAAACACGCTATTTTGGCAAGAATTGCCTAAACAACAAATCAATCAATCTTTGAATCAATCAATCTTTGGCGAAATGCCTAAAAAATGCACGAAGCATGCATTAAGCATACCCATTCAAAGCCCTTTAAAAAAGGCCTATCGAACTATGTCGGCTTTGATCTCTCATTCAAACTAGAGTACGTAGGCACGTTTGGGATTTAATCCCGAGCGGCAAGTCGAAATCACTTAAACATTTCATTGGTCCAATTACATAATCTACCTTGCAAAGCATTCATTCATTGGTTAGTTCATCAACCTGATATGGTCTCGGGATCCACCTCGAGTTCGCAAACTATACCTTAAACATTGGGATAATTAATCTAGTAATTAGGTTAATTAAAATTGGAGTCAACTTAGGGTTTTTTCCTAGTTTACCCTAAAATAATTAAACAATAAAAATAAACTAGGTGGCGACTTCACGTGAGCATACCTCGTTCTAGCATAATTTTGCCTTCGGGGGAGGGTTCACAATAGGTGGACGTCGACTACTGCCCTCCCTTAAAGCTAATTCTGATTCGTTATTTGGTGCAGCACATTCATCAGCAAATGAGGCAGTAACAACAGGTTCGGCGGTAATTTCAGTAGCATCATGTGAAGCAAAGCCTGTTTGTTTTGTGTTTTCTCCTTTTGCTGGAATTTCGATGCTTTCTTACCAATCTAAATCAGCTTCATCCTCAAAACTCTCCCAATCCCATTTACAATTTTCATCAAAAATTACATCACGGCTCACTATGATTTTCTTTTCAACTGGATTGAACAACCTGTACCCTTTTGATTCGCCGCCTTTTGATTCGCCGCTGATTCCGAATAAAACACAAACCACGCTTTTGTCTTCAAGTTTTTTTCTCTTAGCATCTGGGACATGAACATATCCCACACATCCGAAAACTTGAAAATGGTCTACTGCTGGTTTCACTCCACTCCAAGCCTCTTCTGGTGTCATATCTTTTACTGCAAGTGTTGGAGATCGATTCAAGACATGATTTGCCCACATGACAGCTTCAGGCCAGAACTTCTTGGGTACCCCCTTTTTCTGTCAACAGAGCTCTTACCAAATTCATCATCGTGCGATTTTTGCGCTCAGCTACTCGGTTTTGCTGTGGAGTATAAGCTGTGGTCAGTTGTCTCTTTACTCCATGTTGTTTGCAAAAGTCTTTGAATTCTGCAGAATTGAATTCTCCTCTTCTATCTGTTCTTAAGCATTTTATGGGCATTCTAATCTCTTTCTCCACCAGATTTTTGAAACATTTAAAAAGATAGAATGTTTCTGATTTTTCTAGAAGAAAATACATCCATGATTTCTAGAAGAAAATACATCCATGATTTTCTGGAAAAATCGTCTATAAAACACAGCAAATACCTTTTTTCGCTGCTTGAAGATGGTGTAATTGGACCACATAAATCCGCATGAACAAGACTCAATTTTTCAGAAGCTCTCCACTGACTTCTTTTTGGAATGGGAGTCCGATGCTGTTTTCCCTTCATACATGCTTCGCAAGTGATGCTTGGATCAACAATTTATGGCAGACCTTTTACCATGTTTTTGTGTTTGAAAATACGGAGGCCTTTGTAACTGAGATGGCCATAATGATAGTGCCAAAGTGTTGATTGATCCGTATTTAAAACTTGTAGGCATCTTCCTTCACCTGTTGTGTTTGATGATTCTGCCAGCAAAATAAACATTCGGTTTGCACTCATGATCGATTCTGCGATTTTTCCCTTTTGTGGATGATAAATGCTATGCTACATGCTCCACCTTTGAACAGCACTGCTACCCCCTTTTCTTGAAGCTATCCAACACTTAAAAGGTTTTTCTTGAGTTCCGATGCCCAATACACTTCTCCAACAGTGTAACAGTTTCCCTACAAAAACAGTTTCACAGTACCCTTCCCAGTAACTTTCATTCTGGTATTATTTCCAAGTTTGACACTGTGAGTAAAAGTTGTGTCTAAACTTGAAAACATACTTTCATCACCACACATGCTATTTGAGCAACTGGAGTCTAGGAACCATGCGTCTCTTCTCTTTGGTTCATAAAGTTCAACATAGGCCATTAATAGCAACTCATCTTCTTCATTGAGCTCAGCATAATTTGCTTCGTTATTCTTAGGACATTCATACTGAAAATGTCCCAAGTCATGACATCTCTAACATTCAACAGTTGCCTTGTTGAAACTTGTTCTGCCTCTTCCACGCCCCCTTCCTCTATAAGCTCCTCTTCCTCTGTTGCTTGTGTTCGATCTACCTTCAACTTTTAGAGCTTGATCCTCATTATTGTTGCTGGGTCGACGAAATTTTTGTTCATGCACCACTAATGAACTCTGTAACTCATCAATGGACATAGTATCCGTGTCCTTTGATTCTTCGATGGATACTACAACATATGTAAACTTGTCAATTAGGGTGCGTAGAATTTTCTCCACAATTTTCTTGTCTGGCATTTCTTCTCCGTTGCTTCTCATTTTATTAGCAACCAACATTACTCTAGCAAAATACTCTGTGATTGTTTCATCATTTCTCATATCCAGGACTTCAAACTCTCTTCTTAATGCATTAAGAAGTGATTTCTTCACCTTTTGATTTCCACCAAAATTTCCACCAAACTTTTCCCGCTTCATGAATCCCAAACACTCTTTGAATGTCGCGACGGTCCAAGAGTTGTTCAAACGACGGTCGATCATTGCCTGGAACAGTTTCGCTTCAATGAGTCCCAAACAATCTTGAATGTGCGACGGTCCAAGATTTGTTCAAAGACGGTTCGATCAATTGCCTGGAACAGGTAATGTTTTACCTAATAATCTTTGGTTCTATCATCATCAAGCTGCGTCTGTTGAGCCTTGGTCAATCTCGTCTCTTCTAGTGGCTCCGTAAAACCTTTCTCCACCAAACTCCATAAACCTTTTGCTCTGAGCAGATTTTCCATCAATTCACTCCAATGATCATAGTGACCATCAAAGTGAGGAATTTTTGTTAAGGTTTTGTCGTCTAACATTTTCTTTGTGTTTGATTACTTGAAGATTGCAATCTTCCTTCCTTTTCAAAAACCCAGTGGGGGCTCTGATACCAATTGTTAAGTTTAAACAGAAAAACTTATTGAACAGAGAACTCAAACAATTGGATTTCCAGTATTCATGCATTGAAATCAGACATGGCAATATATAGCCTTACAGGAATAGCACAACGATAAAAGAAAAAATACAGCAGAAAAATCCTAACAATCCCAAAAGAATAGGACTTCCTAAAGAATAGGACTTTTATTTAACAGAACCAAACAAACAGCTCCTAACAGGCTTGGCCTTTATAGTTCATTCAATAGAATTAAAACCAAAACCAGAAGATTTCTATTTCAATGAAACCAAAAGCTTGACATCCCAAATTTCAATAGTTCAATTAGAATCGATTTCAAATTAATTTCGATTTTCAATTTTATTCCTATATATAACTAAACCTTAGCAAAGTCTATCTAGCAGGAGTTGTGGAATTTAAAGAGCATTACTAGAGAGATTTATAAATCAATTTCTTATTAAAATTTTATATAATTCATTTTTCTACTAATATGCTTTAACTTTTCTAAGTCATAATAGCATTACAAGATCAAATTAGAATAAACCCATTCTTATTTAACTTCTCCAAATATGAGTCACAAATTTTCCTGGAAAATAAAAATTACCAAAAGCTTCATTAGTATCATTTTTTTTTTCTTTTTTGTTGATTCATGAATTATGAAAAGCAAAGATAACCTAATAATATCTAATAGAATAAAATTATTTATCAGGATTAAACTGTGATTTGTATCTAAGACTTAATTATATTTTATAGGCCAAATATTATATTTTGCATAGAACATGGACATGATTAGGAGATCTCATGCATAAGTACTGTGTATGTCAATGCTTCGGATCTTCATAAATAAAAAGGTTATTCCAACTTCTAATTCTACTAGGCTAAACAGGCAAGGGTGTGAAAGAAGAGAGCCAGAGCCACCAAGCTAATGTAATATTTGATGCACCAAAAATTTAACTTCTTGGTTATCAAAAAATTCTTTTCTTTTTTCTCATTAATTATTCTCCACTTCATGATTAATTTTCATCTTTATATTTGAAAATTGCAGACTAATTTTCTCCAGCATAATCTAATCGCAGTTATATATAGATGCATGTAAATGTAAATGCAGAGTCAAATATTTGCAGAATATGACAGTTGAAAGTTACATGTACTAAGATTTAAGAGCCACAATATCAAGATAACTGCAACGACAATGATTACCCATGTATAATAAATATCAAGCACTGGACATTTCATCAATCTCAATGCAACCCAATCATCAGATTTCATTGGGAAACTCAAATCTCAATCCATTTTCAAATTCCAACTACCCAATCTTTCCCTATAAAAACCCAGCAACCAAACATAGATTTCCCATCACCAACAATATCTAGCACTGTCTCTAAAAGCAACACAAGCCTCCAACAGCTAGCTTTATTGAATATAGTTACTGTGATTCCTAACCATGAAGAACATCTTCGTTTCTGTGCTCTTTCTCCTCTCCTTTCTCTTCTGCCTTGCCAATGTTAACGATGCAGCAGTTCCATGCAGCACCGTCGACATGAAAGCAGCAGCTTGTGTTGGATTCGCCACTGGCAAAGACCCAGAGCCCTCAAAAGCATGCTGCAGTGGCCTGCAACAGCTTGCATCAACTGTTAAAACAGTTGATGACAAGAAGGCTATTTGCAGGTGCTTGAAGGCTAGTTCCAAGTCTTTGGGAATAAAAGATCAGTTCTTGAGCAAAATTCCTGATGCTTGCCACATCAAAGTTGGCTTCCCCGTCTCCACCGCCACCAACTGTGAAACGTGAGTGAACAATCGTTTTCCGTTTCTTTTGCTTTTTAGGTGATACTTAGCAGTGTACTCGAGTTAATACGGTACACTGCTCGAGCTTGAATTATTTAGATGAAACTCAACTCAACTTCAACATATCAAGCTTTATCATGAAGCTCCAACTCAACTCAGTAGAATACTCGAATGCTCGAGCTCAACACCTATAGTGATATCATAAGCTAAAATTTCACATGCTCATTAGATCTAGTCGTCGAGCATCACATTGATTTTTAATTTATACACTATACTAAATCAGAATCCAAGGATATTAAAGAATCCTACAAAAAAAAGCTAACCTAAAAACTAAACCTATACGAAACAAATTTAAGTCCCAATTGAGGTACTCTTTAGTGTTTGTTTCATGTAACTTCATAAAGTTTTAAGCACCCTTAAAAGAGAATCACAAAAAATAAAAAACCTTCATCAACTCACTGATTAATTATAATTATGTTAGAAGGACAGGGACTGATTTTGCTTCTGATTTTTGATTTTACAGGATTCACTAGATTGCAATGGAGCTAAGTTGAGGCAGTTATCATTGTTGTAGTGTCATGGAGAGAAAAGTAGAAACAGGAAGAAGTTGAATAAAATAGTCTAGGGCAATGTATCTGGTCCCTTTGAGACCCTACTTTGGCCTTAATAACAAATGTTGGCTTTTCTAAGATCATTCAGTTTTCCTTTTCATATCATTTTCATTATCTGTTCTCATATGCCAGTAGATTTCAGTGGACTTCAGATTTTAACAGGTTCAGAGACCATGTAGGTATAGATGCCAAATTTTAGTCTGAAACTTCTAAAGTTCAAACCAAATAACCCAAATTTCAAGAAATTAAGTTAATGAAGTTGGAAAAGTTCAACAAATTGCAATTTGTTATCATATGCTCCTAATCATATACTCCTTAAAGTTAACAAATTGCAAGAGTTTGTTCAATTTTAACCCTGAACATTTGAACACTGCAATTAAAAGATAAGAAAATCTATTACCATCTCATATGTCCTCATATACTCAAGAGTTTGATTGATGACAACTTACCTACTTTCTTTCCATATAATTCGCAGCTTTAGTCCACCTCAGTAGCAGAAAATTTGAGGAGAAAAAAAGATATATATTTTTTAAATATCTAAATTAAAGAATAAAATACATAATGTTTCAAAGCTGCAGAAATATAAAATATAATGCAGAATGTTCCCAAAGCAATCAATGAGGGCCCATATGTTTGTTTTCACATCAACTACGACTGATGAAATGCACTGACATGTGATTTTGGGTGACAAAAAGCCATAATTTCAACTTAGTACAATCAATTACCATGGAATTTCCTGACCATCCCATGCGAAGAACTTGCCATTATCATGGTTCTTGGCATTGTTGATGATGTTTAAGAGCTTCTGTACTGAAAACTCTTTCGTGAAAAGCTTGCCTTCAGGACCATTTCTCTGAAATGGCTTAGAGAGGTCAGTGTCCACCGTACCTGGGTGCAAAAGAATGCATATTATAGGATCTCTCTTTCTTGCAAACTCCACACTCACGGTCTTTGTCACTGCTTGCATTAGATGAGAGAAGAATTATAACAAGCAAAATCAAGTAAATGAAATTTCTAAGAGAATCTACTTGTGTTCTTGACATCAAAAATTTCCATTACATACTGCAAGCTGATACAATAAATGGGAAGTGTGCAACTGAACAAGGCATTCATATAGAAAATGCAGGTGAGACCATGTTAAGGTAGCCACGTCACCATTACCAACCAAAGTTATGGACCCTAGATACTTCTCTACAACATAATCATACCATACTCTTGACGTAAATTTTCCCTCTTCACAAAGGTTCTCGATTGTTAATGGTATTTCAAGCTATAGGTAATATCAGTGAGCCAGAAGATTGGGTTTTCTTACGAAACAATGTACCAAAATTAATGACTGAGGGCATGCACTGAAGCCAGCAATTAGTAATGGAGAACTTTATTAGTTGTTATTTTTAATACTATTTCTAGTCTCAAATGGGCTTGACAGAAAGATTTCTGGAACATGCTTCAGGCGCTAGATGCATATTATTTTCATAGGTTTTCCCTAGCCTATAAATTGAACTGTCAAAACAAAGCAAACCAGTATGTTCCACTAGCAAGAACAATCTCACATTTAACCTACGTAGTCATGATAGAGTTTATTGATTTATGTTGAGAAGTTCATTACAAGTTGATATAAAATCATTACTTTACCAAGATGAAAAATAAACCTATGCCAATCCTAGATTCAAGGGTCAGAAAATATCCTGGATCAGAAACAAGTCAAATACATTGTAATTTTCTACTGCTGCTTGGAAGTAGTCAAGAAGCACCAGATGCTTACAAATTGAAACCATAGATCATGAAAATTAATGCTATTGAAAGCCTAGAGAAAAGTCATACGCTGATTCAAGGCAGCCTTTGAAGACCTATAAGAATGCCAACCTCCTAGACGATTATCTCCAATGGATCCCACCCTTGCACTTAAATTGGCAACCACTGAAACCTCCCTTTGCGTTCCTAAGCCTCCTCCAGCTTTTAGAAGAGGCCACATATGCTGCGAATGGTATGAAACAATACTTAGATACATGTGAATGGTGAACCACTGAGCTTGAAAACAGAAACGTGGCATGTAAGAAAACCCTATTGCATACATAAACATGTAATATATTATTTCTCATAACTCCATTCACTGTGTGATTGCCAACATTTTATTTGAAGATGTCTCTGCTAAGAAGTTGCTTGTGTACAATTTTCCATCATCTTTACTGTCTAATGGCTACAGAATAACCAAAAAAAAAAAAAAAAAAAAAATTAACTCATTCACTGTGTTGATTGCCAACATTTTATTTGAAGATGTCTCTGCTAAGAAGTTGCCTTGTGTACAATTTTTCCACATCTTAACTGTCTAATGGCTACAAGATAACCTAAAAAAAAAAAAAAAAAAAGAAACAAAAAGAAAAAGAAACAAGAATGTAGGTCTCAAAAAAAAAAAAAAAAAAAAGAAACAAAAAGAAAAAGAAAACAGATGTAGGTGCTCTTAATGCAAGACTATGCATAAAAATCAAAAGGCATGATTCCCATATTTTGCTTAAATGAAACTAGAACTGAGTTTTCTAAAAGAGTCGAGTTATCAACTAAAAGTTGTATCCACATACCTTGATTACTAGAATTGGACCCACAGCATTGATCTCATAAGCAAGCATTAATGATGATTTCTCCACTTTGTTCAATGTTGTTTCTGCACTGGAAGCCAAAGAAATTAACTTTATCCCCTAGACTTGGTCAGAAGCTTATAAACTAGATGATTTAATTTATTATTAAATAAAAATATTGCAACTATTAAAGTGTACTACTGATCCTAAATCTTTGTGAACACAATGATGCAATAGTTCTACCTGGTTGCATCACATTTGGTACCGAAAGGACGCCTGAGGCATTAATGAGAAGGTTCAAAGCGCCATACTTTTCTTTTATGGACATTGCAGAGGCCTGAAATATGACATTGATGTCAGGTGATTAGAAAGAAAAAACAAGGCTAAACCTAAATAGCTGTCAGTTTATGGCCAGTTAATTAACAAATTAAAATAAACAAAAGGAAACCAAAGGCAGAAATCAAAATAATTAGTATATAATATTTTCACCTAAAAGAAGTTAAAGAGGATAAGCTAAAATTCATTAATTCACAACATTTCTGACCCTAAAGTGACAGTAGGATCCAAGTTCTTCCTCTATTTGATTACTAAAGGAGCTAATGCTTTTGGAAAAAAATCATCTAGCCAAAAAACCACAACTTATTTGATTATCAAAAACAAAAGCAAAAGGTGAATTTTCTTCTGTGCTAGATAAGCAAGGGGTATGAGCCAAGAAGACGCATTAACCTCTACGGAACTTTCAACGGTCAAGTCCAACTGCAAAATGTTGAGACGATCAGAAAACTTGTTTTTCAAATCAAGGAGTCCTGTTGCTCCATTAGGATTTCGACAAGTAGCAACAACATGTCCTTTCTCATTCTTTTCCAAGAGTTGTTTAACCTGTATCAGGAAGGTAAAAATACAAATATCAAAGTTTGTTCAACTAGTTGACTGATTCCCAGCACCATTAATTAGAATTCTATAACAAAGTAATTAAGTCCAGGAAATGAATTATATATATATATATATATATAACCATAATAGTTGCACCCTCTTCACTTTAACCAAGTCAATACTACATCCTTGAAGTACCAGCATCAAACACGGATATCTCAGACATGGATATGATACTCTGACACTCCAGATTAGTAAGAACTCTATGACATTTTGAAAATAAGTAAAGCCTTGTGTGTGGAAACATACTGTTATCCTAGTTGCAAGACAAAGTATCGGACTTGACTTAGATCCCACATTGAAATCCCATTCAAATCATGGAATTTCAATGTGGGTTTATATGAACTTGGACTCTGCAACCTTAAATTGGTATTAGACCAACCACCGTTTCTCCCAGTTACAATTGATTGGCGCAAGTAGCGATGCTGACATTGCACTGTTCGCCTGGGACTAGTAGGTGACATCAGTATTACAATGTTTGCCTAGGGCTAGGAAAAAAAAAAATTGGAGCACAGCCATCCTAGTGCAAAGTCAATCCTTCGTGGGCGCTAAGAATATGGAACATAATCCTAGTTGCAAAACAAGGTATGAGATTTGAATTTGATCCCACATATGAAAATATAGAACTTCAATATGGAGTTCATATGAATCTGGGTCCCCAACCTCAATAGCTAGTTTTTGAGATATGGTTCTCCCAAAGTCATATCACATACCCAAACTGGATCTTTAAAACCAAGTCCAAGTAATATAGTTAATTAATTTGCATCAAAAGTTTTGCTACTTTCATGAATTAGAAAACTACGTGCTTATTGAAAAGTAATTCTCTGATATAGGTGAAAATAAGATGAATAATTTGAAATGGAATCAAAAATTCATTTCCAGTTGGACTGCAGCAAGCATGAAAAATAGTACTGCAGACATTGTTAAGACATAAGTTCTAATACAACAATAGAACTTAATATCATTAAGAAAGCTATGAAAAAATTATGCAACCAGTTATTCGGCATCTGAACAACTCCAAGAGCTCTGCATTCAACAGAGCGATATGAAATACCTCGAAACTTTTGCTCCTCTCACTTGACCAATAAACATGACATACACATTGGGCTTAGCTCGTCAAATATTAGTAAGCTCAACAATATGATTACAGATAATAGAGCTCAAGATTAGCTTGTCCAAATTTTATTAAGCTTGGGCTTAGCCCATGCTAAACTTGTCCTTAGATCATTAGCATTGCAAATGAGTTGAACCTCTGCTTGTTTATGGAAATTGAGCACTTAAGTATTCAGCTTTATTTACAAAAAGGTAGAAAAGAAAAATGAATAAGAAATTCAGTCTCATAAAAAATAAGTTTCTCAGTATTATAATAAAGAAGAAAGTAAAGTACAACACAAAAAACACAAACTTATTACCTCAAATTATAGCTTGTCTCTCACATAGATAATCATTATATTATTCCAATAAATCAAAGGATAACAGGTTTGTTAATGACCTTAGTAATTCATACTATTTCCCACAAAAAAGTTGCATCTACAGAGTACATTTCCCAGATTCATAACATCACATCTCATTCTAAATAACAACCCCACACACAGGCATTATAAAACTAGCGTTACAAAGAACTAATGTTTCTAGGCCCGAGTTGCATCATCGTACATGGGACTATTGATAAGTAGTTTATAGATTTACTAGTGTCGACCTAATTTTTCCTCTTATTAGTTAACTTGCATTTAATTATATTATGTAAAACATAGCAATGACGCATTGAGTTTAAGCTAGAACATAACAATAATCCTCTAACCAGAGTACTTGGAATTAAATGTTGATAATACTTCTGGCTAAGTCAGAACACTTCTTCTGAAAGCAAAAATGAAATATAGATGACAATCCCATAACATTTATCAATTGAGAAGAGGTTATCTTAACTTGAGATGGGATTTACCATTATTAGTTTGGTTAAAGTAATAATAGATTCATGAAAACCTGAAAGGTAAAAGCATTAAAGAAATGCATCAACAAAAGGAGGATCAGAAGTGCAATCCATCACGTGACATAACAGAGAAAGAGAAAGAAAAAGACAGAGGGGGACTCAAAATGTACCAAAAAAAGGAAAGGATAATCGATCATGTGACAACACAAGCCACTGAGACAGAAAAAAAAAAAAAAAGGAGCCAAAAACAGAGGGGGACTCAAAAATGTACCAAAAAAGGAGAGGATAATGATGCATGTGTGGACCAACACCAAGCCAACTGAGACAGGAAAAAAAAAAAAAAGGAAGCCAAGGGACAGAAGATAAAAGTAAGAGTTGAGACAGAAAAAAAAAAAAAAAGGAAGCCAAGGACAAAATAAAAGTAAAGTGGAACAGTACAAGAATCAAATATAATAAGCAGAACTGGAAAACACAAAGTAATAACATTAGGGAGACTAACAAAAAGAAACTGAACAAAAAGCAGAAGAGAATATCTCATCCAAATTAGAAGATAACAAAAAGGACCATCACAATCTCTGAAAGTGGAATCGAGTAAAGAAATTTTGCAGAAGAAATTATATACTTCCTTTATAACCTTGGTGGCCAATTATTACTGTTGGTAGCAAAATGAATTGATTTAAATTATAGTTCAAATTAATACAAGGAAAAAAAATAATTATATTGATAAATCTCATTCAATATATTAATTATATATATATCCAACGATTATAAGTTCAATTACCGGGATTGAATCACCAAACTTGCAAATTCTCTTCAAAATTATCTCCAGAGCGAAATAAATAAATAATAAATACTATATAAACATATTTATTTATATATAAGGAAATTATCAAATTATCGAAAATTAACAAAATAATAAGACAAAAACTACCGACCCATTTTAGAGGAAGCTAAGAAATGCGAGAACATAAAAGGCCAGACAGAATTCAAGTACTTCAAAAGAAAAAAAGAGGTATAATCAAAACTCAAAATTAGAAATAGGAAAAGAAGAGAAACTCACAAATTCAAGGCCAATGCCTCTAGACGCTCCTTGCACCATGGAGACCCCACCTTCCCATCTAGGGACAGAAATAGAAGCAGAAGATAATACAGAAAATGCCCTTTTACATGAATTGGGAGCCATTGGAGTAGCCACAAATGCAGAGCAGTAATTCAGAACAAAAAGCTTCATTTTTTAGCTTCAGATCTTCTGTTAATGCCATGGAAGCTCTTTAAAGTTGTTGTAGCTCTTAAATGAATCTGTTTTAACTGCCATTAAACTGAGAAACTGACTGTTGAATCGGTGGATGATGAAAGAGGGAAAGCATTAGCCTACTAATTTCAGGCCCTGAATTTAAAACCCAATTAAAAAAGTTTTTGATGTCTTTAGCCCAACTCACATAAGATCTTTTATGGTGTATAAGTTTGTTAAAGCCCATTTCTAATATTAACATTTCTTTATATCATTGAAATTTCAAATAACTTTTAATTAATAAATAATAAATTTACTAATTCAAGAAATTCTTCAAAAATAACAACAAAAAGTTTTTATGGGTCACCATTAGGTTAGGCTAGCCAGTAGCCCTCTATTTCAATGCTTTTCTTGTTATAGCAATATCATATATTTTAATATCAATCATAATAATTTTTTAATATATTATAATATATATATAAATATAATATATATATATATCTATGTATTATATATTGTATAGTATATAATTTTGTATATATAATTTGTCAGGTTAAAAAAAAAAATTGGTATCTATTAAATTTTAATGTATATAAATAAAATTTCAGTACATTGTGTGGATTTAACACATACAAGTCATTTACTATGAAACCCTCCGGTCTTTCTCTTTTTTGGTATTCTTTTATATTAGATTTTATTTTCCAGACCACTGTGGACCATCTTCTTTGGTCGATGATGGTTTCTTTTCGTACACTCCTATCGTTTTTTCTATTTTATTTGATTTTCTTTCAATAATTTTCAAACTTGTAATCATTTAGAACAAAATTTAAATTTAGTCTCTCAAATCTGTAATAGTTGTAATATCTAGAGTACTTAAAAGGGAATATTAGATTTATTGATCAGTGCAGTAACGAGCATTGCTTGTTATTCGGTGTGTTGTGCTACTTTATCTGGTTTGACAGAAATCGGTGGGTTTGACAACAGACTAATATTGCTCCTTACAACATTGTCATGGCAGCCACCAGCTTCCTTAGAGAATGGAAGAATGCACAGATTGATCGAAGCAATTCCTCTGTATCGTTGGCTTCAGTTCTGACATGGGCTCCTCCTCCCCTCTGTATCGTTGGCTTCAGTTCTGACATGGGCTCCTCCTCCGACTGGGGTTGTAAAGTGTAATTTTGATGCAGCTGTCCATACGACTGAGGGTCGTTCATCGTATGCTGGCCTTGTGCGGAATGAGGCTGGGCAGTTCTTGGTAACTTGCACGAGTCATTTTGCAGGGGTGCTAAAACCTCACATCGCAGAGGTCATCGACCTTAGGGAAGTATTATCTTGATTGCTCACGAGATCTATTGGTAGGGTTCTGGTGGAAATAGATTGCCTGCGACTGGTTCAAACTGTAACTACTGGTCTTGATTCTTATTCAGATTGGGCACCAGTGATAGAAGAGATTAAACATCTGCTCTCTCAAATACCATGTTGTGAATTGGTTTTGGTTAGGAGGCAAGGCAACAAGCCTGCATATGCACTTGCTCGTGTGGCATGTTTACATTCTTGTTTCCATCTATGGAACTCGACTCCCCAATGTATTAAAGGACTTATTACCCATGATTTATTATAACTATATGATCTTATTTACTATAAAAAATTAAAAAAAAAAACGTAGTACTAATTATGTGACCTAAAATTTTAAATAATTAGTACTTATAAAATTTTTTAATTTTGAAATTAAAAGTTTTAAAACTTTTTGAATTTTTTTTATATCTATCTACATACACTTATACCTATCTATATGTGCCTTAGTTCCAATGATTTTCTTTCAGAGTGATTGTCGTCTTTTTTTTTCTTTTATTGCTTTTCAATTCTTTGAGTTTTGATTATTGTTTTTTTTATTTATTTTTTACATGTATGTATGTCCAATTCAGATATATCATTGTTTTCTTTTTTACATTTTTAACTTTTTTGTGCAATCTTTTATGGTCTTTTTTTGTTTTTTTTTTGCATTCCGTGACCTTTCTCCTCTTTAATATTATTTATTTAATAATATTTTCTTTACTATTTACCAATCGTATGTGTGAAAGTACAGATATAAGAAATATCATGTGGAGATGAAATGAAAGAAAAACTAACTATAAATCTATTTATGTATTTTTAAAATTTATTATTTTTTTACAAATTGTATAAAATTGTAAATTGTAAATTTTTTCATTGATTGCTTTCATATTCATAAATGTAAATTCATAATTATTTATAATTATTTTGATTCATATATTAATATATATATATATATATTGTTCTCCAATTGTTGAGTTAGTATATTGCATACAATTCAAGTATTTCATATAATTTGATTTGAGTTTTGAAACTAAAACTAGCTAATAAATTAGAAAGAGAAATATAAGTACAATTTATATTATTTTATTTATTATTATTATTATTTTTCCATTTACATCAAAGAGTAAATCTCTCTACTAAGTGTTATATATATAGCAATGTGAATATTTACATCACTGATTTAAAAGGAAAAAAAAAAGAAAGAAATATTAAATTCAATAAATATATTTAAATAACATGGGGATCTTATAATTAAAAAATAAATATATTTAATAAATTAAGAGTAAATCTCTCTGTACTAAGTGGCTTATATTTATATATGCAAATGGTGAATTATTTCTACATCAATGATTAAAAAATGAAAAAAAAAAGAAAAGAAATAATTAAATTCAAAATAAATATATTTAAATAACATGGGGCATCTTATAATTAAAAAATATAATATAATTTAAATAATATTAAAAAGGAATTGTAGATACTTTTGATTTATAGTTAAAAAGATTCCTTATTATTTAATTTAATTTTATTATCTAAATGTTAAAAAATTATATCTAATTTATATATTTTAATTTTAATTTTATTATCTAAATGTTAAAAAATTATATCTAATTTATATTTAAAAATTAATAATCATTTCCAATAAATATCTATATTTATATTTCAATTTTGAATTTGTATTTTTTTTCCTTTCTTTTATTATATCATCTAAGATATTTTTTTAAAGTCTAAAAACTATTAGCTTTTTAAAATAATTAACATATTTATATTTATATTTGAATAGTTTGAATTTCTTTTAGTTTTAAATTGGGTGGTTTAATCTTTGTTGTTCATTTATTTATAATGAGTATCTATGCTTACATCTATATATCTTTATTATTGCTTTATAGATGGAATTTTTTTATGTTTTTCAAATTTATAATTTTGCAAAAAAAATTTAACTAATACTTATTGTCTGGGACTTTTGTATTGCATGCATTTTTTTATTTGCTTTTTTTCATTTCTCTGAAGTTGTAGGATTTTTTTTATAAATATTTATTTTTATACATACAATAAAAAAAAACCTCTATGCAATATATAATAATAAATTAATAAGGCAACCCGCGCAATGTGCTAGCTTCCTCCTGTTAGAAGATAAAACAATATTCCTTTCATCTCAAAATATATATCGTTTTAGAGTGATTATTTTATTCCAAAATATAATTCATTTTGATTATTTTAAAGAGTAATAAATAATATTTTTTCAATGTTACTCTTATTTATATTAGATACAACTAATTTCACAAGTTACTCTTGGTTTTGAGATAAAAAACAATTGGATCAAATTACCATTTGTTTTGATATAGAGAATTGATTATTTCCTTAATCCCGTATAAAAACATTAACGACTTGTATCTTGCCACAAAGGAAGTAACATCTAAACTAATGGTATTATGCCCCTAATATTAGGAAATATATACTCCCTCCATTTCTAAATACCAATCACATTTCACGTCTCTTAAAAAAATCATTCAATTTGTTTAAATTATAATAAATTATTAAATGAATTTACTATATATAATATATTTAATTTGTCTAAATTATAATAAATTATTAAGGAATTGAACAACCACTGTTGAGGAAAGTCACCATATGTGGCAGTAACAAGAGAAGTATATTTTCTTGAATTGCGAAACTAATAAATTCAATAAAGGCACTCTATGACCTTTTTTTAACTAGCTGGATCTTTGCATGTTATGCATACGGGTTTAATCTTTAATTAAATTTTTATTTATTAAAATTAAATCATTATAAAAGTTGTATTGATAAATAATTTATTAGAAATATTTGTATTAAAAAATAATTAACAACTAATAAAATCCTAATTTATCCTCAAATATAACAACTAATAAATTCCTTCAGTATATATATTAATAGAGATTTTAAGCATCTAAAAAACGGGATGTTCTCATGGGTAAAAAAGCAAAAAGTTTCGAAAAAAGCAAATTAATTATAGTAGTTTCACTCTTTTTTTTTAAAAAAAATTAATTAATTCTATTAAAATTTTCACAACAATATATATATTAATTAATTATTTAAAAAAAAGTTTAGGGGTATTTGAGTCAATGACATTTATTTTGATGTATATATTAATTAATGGAAATCAAAATTATGGCCAACCATCACTAATGAACCATAATCATAGAGGTGGACCCTACCTGCCATATATTAAATGGCCCCACTAGTCACTACCCAATAATAGAGTGCACGAAAGGGTAAGCACTACAAAAATTTAGTTACTATCCACGTATAAATCCGTCCATAAAATATAAAAATTGGTCGGTAATTCAGTTTGTCCATAAAATAATGACGGAAAGCATTCCATCAGTAAAATTATTTTTTAACTTTAGTAATTAATAAATTATGATATTAAATTATTAATCAATTGAATTTTTTTAATAACTTTATTAATTGATTTAAAAGTTTATATTTTATTAAATTTCGGCACAATGAATTAATTACTAAATCAATTAATAATTATATTTATTTTTAATGATATTCAGGAGTATTTATTTAAATTTTAATTTCTATTTATTTTATTGCAATACCAAAGTATGTCTTTAACTTTTTCTTTTAACTTTTGTATAAACTAAATTATTATATAAAACAATGTAAATATTTTAAATGTAAAAGGAAAAACATGAAAAAATAATTTAAAAATTTAATATAACACATGATATTTTATTTTATAAGAAAAATAGTACAAACATATTATTTTTTTTAATAAATATATATGATAACGAGACATTTGAAAATTTTATA